TATATATATATATATAGCAACTGTTGTGATCGCAAGCTGCAATTGCAAACTGCTGACCGCGAACAACTAACAACTTCCAGTGATGTGGGTCAAGCGCCACCGTTGGTTAAAGGGGACCTGCTTTTTTATTGTCAATAGATTTTTTTTAAATACTTTTTTTGAGAAAGTGAAACTGATAGGATGCTTAGGGTGCAGTGTACACTAACAAAAAATTATATAATGTTAATCACACGCACAAAGATACACACATTTTATTTGGTCTTTTTTCCTATTTCGTTTTTCCACCCCTCGTGGTCGACTTGGGACCAGTCCATGGGCTACCGGTCGATCGCGATGGACGTATTGGACATCACTGTTGTATTGGCATACATTTCCCTAAAAATATTACTGGTACTGTGATGCCTTCGTGGATGAATCTAAGATATGACTATTTAAAGGTTCTTACATGTCAAATTACACAACGGCTGAGAGTACAAAGACATTCATTACAAGTAAAGCTTTTGTTCAAGAGGAATCCTTAAGATAGTTACTAGTTAGTCGAGATGTAACGATATCCAAACGTCACAATGTGATATCATGACATGAACCTCACAATGTTGTGTTTTTGGACATTACAGCAGTGACAATGAAATAAGATAAGATAAGATATCCTTTAATTGTCCCACACTGGGGAAATTCACAGCCTTCAGCAGCAAGATTGTGGGTAGAAAGAAGAGAAAAGAAAACACAGTTCAATTAAGTGCAATATAAATACAAATATGGATAAGGTCAATAAGTTCAATTAAGTGCAATATAAATACAATAGTCACAGTACTATTCACATTCACATAGGGGGTGGCATTTTATTGTCAATTGCTCTGATTGTCTCAGCGTCGCAAAAAATCATGATCTTTGTAGTTCACAATGCCGTGGTTGGCTGATAACACAACTAATACTTAACATTGAGGCACTTTTGTGCTAATGCACACACACATTGTGAATCAAGTCAATTTGCAGAGGAAGCCAGTGCTCCCCTTCATCTGCCGATTAGTGTGGGTCTTAAACGTAAGTGGCCAAAACAGGCCTAATTCAAATTAAACTGCACTAATAAACTAATCTCCAGAGGGTGCTGGAACTGCACGAATGGAAAATAACCTGGCCTATTTAACAGATGCGGTACTTTTAATCTTGTGGCATGATTGCGATGATAATGTGCCAATAACAATATTCTGATATCGCACTATTGCCGTGATCGTTACATCCCTACCAGTTAGCATGTCTGCCCTAAAGTGGTTCTGTAACTGACAACCAGTAATGTAGTTTATGTATTGTACACATACACATGAAATTGCACACGAAAAGGAACACAAATGCACATGCAAACACACAGTGAGCTAGTTAGACCGACGGGTATTTGTAGATAGACTTTCACAGACAAGACAGACAGTGCATTTATAGTAAGTAAGCAATGTTAACTTACATGTCGGGAGAAATAATAAAAGCTGACCATCATAGTGAAGATCATAATTGTCATGGTCAATTTGGATGGCACTAAGTATGACCTAGGAAGAAGAACAATAATATCCAAATATTAAAAGTTACAAAAATCTATATTGCATAAAATGTGTGGGAATGTTTAGGTACAAGTTTGATGAGCAAAGAAGTCAAAACATAACCGGTACTAAAAATCTACGCATGAGCTTTTTTTCCTCACCTGTAATCATGAAAGCGGGCCATGTCATAGCGGTCAAAGATGTCCCTCCAGCTGTATATATTAACGACACCAGTAGCCACTGTGATAAGCAGCATCAGCGTGAGTTTGACCATGTGACTAACTTGAACCAGCATGGTGGTGGCCATCAGTGCTAGTACAGCAATGTAGCTGTAATATTTGGGGTTGTTCAGACAACCTTCAGGGCTCGACCAGATGGAGGATAAGGAGGGCGGGGATGACACCGAGGTGCTGACTGACAAAGGACCTTGAGGTAGACAACTCAGCTAGAAGATGGACAGAAATGAGTAATGAGCTCAGTGACTATCCATCTCAGATCAGTGCCTCCTATGATTAACGTGCAGCTCGACAGCTCTCCACTCAGATATAGCTTTTGCGGATATGGCACAAAGCTTACCATGTCAACAATGTCAGCCATGGTAAGTATGAAGATGGCTGCCATGGCCCAGGTGTTACGAGCCCACCGAGTGTGGTCAATCCAAGTTGAGAAACCAACAAGCTTCTTGGGAAAAACCTTGCCAAAAGAAAAAAAAAACAATGTATTTTTAGGAAACAGATGAAAACCCTAGGAAGGATAAGCAGTACAGAAAATGCATGGATGAATGAAAACGCCAGAAATGAAAATTCTCTCATTGAATATTGTTGGCTGAAAGGTGCACTTTCAGTTTTCAGATGAAAGATTTTTGTCACCGAAAAACCGTGGCCGAAACAGGTTGTTGCGATAACGCAAGCAAAAATTCCCCACAGCCGTGGCAGTCAGCTATCGGACCAGATCGAGAAGGCTGCCTAGCCAATGAAGACCTCTGTGGTGGCCTGGGTTCAACCTTTTCTTTCTCTCTTTTTTTTTTTTTTAAAGGTTTTAGGGTAGCGTAATTTATTTCAGTGTTTTGTTTTTCTGCCTTGGTCGGCACTACTTATATCCGACAAGGAAAATTGTGGTGGCTAGCAAGCTAATGCTTGTTGTCCAAACTTCTGAGTCAATTCTGCCAATGAAATGTTAAACTCAAACTCAGTCCTGTGAGTAGAGAAACATTCCTGTCACACAAAAAAAAGCCTCATTATCACTATCTTATCATTATCATTATTACATGAAAAGTGTCATGTTAGCCCGTGGAAGTAATGTGCTTACTTCACATTATGATCTAGTTTAAAAAAAACAAACAAACAAAAAACTCCCCCAAAACAATTAACTACTGTATTGCAATACAAATACATTCTGGCACATTCGCTGAGTTGTGTAATTACTGCACTTATGCTCATGACATTGCAATGTGATGTAATCTTGATCCTGATAGAAGAACCTGGAAAACTATTAACATTGACTCATCTTTATACTCAACTCAGCACAGTCATTTATTGACTGTGCTGTCAATTGCCTGAGAGGGCAGGCGATCAATTCTGTTGGACATCAAATGCATTTGAATTTCCATGGTGAAGAGGTCTGAATCTAAAGTAGTCCTTTGTGCCAAATAACACATCGACATTTCTCGTGGGCACGCGACCGCATTGAAGCATTCCTTTAAACAAATATTTAAACAAGTCGTACCTTTATGAAATATTAACATCTGTCTTCATACAATATACCAAAAGGTAAACAGGCCCATGTGGCTTGGCCTTACTGCTAAAAACCTCTGAGAGAGGATCGATCCCAGCTTGGAGCTTTATTTTCCAACAATCAATAAGGTACATCCACTACCCCTAACCTGTAATAATGATAATAATGACTAAAGACCATGCTTTACCATATTAACAAAATTCTGGTTTCTTTTGCTTATGTTTGTGGGACCCTCGACAATTTCTCAAGGGGCAAAGGAAAAACACCGATGATACTGTTGGCATGTTAACACACCATATCCTGCGTTTGCCATATTTATTTACAATTAAATGATTGCATGAAAACGACTAGAGCCTTTTGCCGTTTTGTTGTTTCACACAGAAGGCAGCAAATGCAGGGTGTACGGCATAGCATTATATTTTATTTTATGAGTAGATCAGGGATGAGCAACTTAAATAATGGAGGGGCCCACCAATTTTCATCAGTGATATTGGAGGGGCAACACACTACAGGTTATGAAAACTTGACAAAATGAACCTCAAATCAAATCATAAAACTCCTTCGACTCACCCTGGGAAAGATGGCGGCCATTGAACAGATTGTCAGGATGAGGAGTAGGACTTCCCCCACCGCAAAAGTGATGTAATTTGCAATCAACCTGTGAAAAAGACAAAAATCTTGTTAGTTCGCGGCCAACAGGCAAGAATAAAGTGGAAGATTCAGAAAATTAAAATTTCCAATAAAGTTCAATAATTTAACCCCCAAACAGCACAATTAGTGAGTGCTGTGGTAATCAGTAAATGCATATTGTTTCTATTCAGCGTTTTTTGCATAATTGATGGAAAATGTTTTTGTATCTGAACCCACCGGCCTCAAGAACCAACCTAGGATCAATGAGGGCCTCCATGGCAGCAGTGAAGAGCAGAACCATGCAGGAGCAGCAGAAGGCAGCTCCACTCTGCTTCTCCTTCTCTACCGAGTAGCGAGTCTCCAAGTCGGGGTCAACAAACCTCAGGGAGAGACGGTTTGTGTGCTTCCCCTTCAAACTGAGGGGGAAAAGAGAACCTCAATACTCATATCAAACATTTCATGGAATTTTTTTCTGAAACGTCGTAGCTATAAATTGCACATGGGAAAATCTCCTTTTCGCAAGCTTTTCTAGGTCAAAACTTAAAAACAAACAAAAAAAAACTGAAAATATCTCTGAAACTTGAAGTGCGAGAAAAGACTAAAGCCATTTTTAAATCAGTGCCAAAAAACATTCAGGGACACAAAAAGCCATCCCTGATTTAAATTTGCTGTTGACCATTGTAATTGACAGCAGCACATACAATACAATAAAAGACATCTTTATTTATATCACGCTTTCGCACATCATTGACTCATTATTTATGTACAGTGATACAAACTCTTCAGATTACATCAGGCAGCAATGTACGAGGCTATATAACTATAACTCTTCAAAATGGCCATCAGGTGCGGTGACATCATTTCACGGAATTCTCCTCATCATTTTTATTGGTCAGAGTTATTGCGATTTCATATTATTAACTACCCCACTGACGAGGGAAAGTCAACCTGAGGCTCTTTCATCCTTCTCTCGTGGCTCTTTGTGTCTTTGCTGTGACACAGGAGCAAAAATCACATTAACCCGTAAAGTCATTATTCTAATGGGCTATTACTTCCCAAATACGTATTTGATATTAAGTGAAATAGTCCTCGCTCCACTTTTCAAAGTTTTCATTACATGCAGAAATACAATTTTGTTTTCTCTGTAGCAGTTAACCAATCTCATAAATGTAAACCACTATAGTTTTTATACATACAAAGGGATGGAGTCCAAATGGCTCTTTAACTATTTAAGGTTACCGTCCCCTGCCATAGACCAATGAAAACATTGAGATAGTCATGGCATAGTCACATCAAAAGTGCCCCTGGACATAAGAGTCAGATGGATGGAAACACAATTTCACAATTCACTCTGCACTAAATATAAAATACATATTGACCGAAAGTCAGCTGGAATAGGCTGCAAACCGAATGAGGACAGGTGGTACAGAATTAAATGGATGGATATTGCAAATAAATCAAAACACCATCTGCTAGATTTGATTAATCCCTACACACCTAATGCTGTTCAGTTTTGGCATCTTATTTTTGAAAGCATTAACATGTTTTCATTGAGTGCTCTATTGAATTAGGCAACTACCGTAATAAACTTTTTCGTGGGGTCTAAAAGTAAACGCTTATTTTTTTTCCATTGTATTTTTGCTTAGGCTCCTAAGCTAACAGAGATAACCTTTAGGGGGGGGGGATTTGACTCACGCTTGGACAGTTTCTCGCTCCAACAGAGCTTCATTTAGCAGTTTGTTGAGCTCCTGTTCGTTCTCTTGGGCATCAATCACCCTTTCAGCCAGATCCCGCAGCCGTAGCCTTCGGCGAGGATTTGGGAAAGACGGGTTGACAACCTGCGGGTCACCAAATTGCTGTCATTATCAAGGTCATGTCATTGTTCTTTCTAACACATCGCTCAAGAAGGAAGAAAAAGAAGTCCAAGACAAAATCTGAACAATCTGATCATGCCACCAAAGTTAGCAGAATTTATTATGCAGAATGACATCAGGCTCCATATTACATGTTTTTCGATTCATCCCATTTTTGATTTTTACAACAACACTGTAAATTGTTGGTTTTTTTTTCATATTTTAGTCTTTTTATTTTCTTTTTAATTAAAGTCTGTTGCTGAACAGGTGTACAAGACTCCCAGCTAAGGACTAGTAACTTTGCCAGAGAGCTGAATCCTCACGGTATTTGAGAGTTCACAAAACCCCGTGAATCCATCTTGTTCCGAGCCCGCTGATTTGCACTGAGCCGCACCACTGGCAGTGCGGACAAATCACAGAGCAACGTGTTTGGGGGTGGGATACGTGGCCTTGATGAAAATGTTCTCGGTTGACAATCGGCTTGATTCAAAAATCAACTCGTGTTATTTTAAGGGGCCTTGAATCCACTACCACGCAACGTCATGATGCCATCTGTGCCAATTGAGATAACGGGACTCGGCTGGTCAAACGAGATGCATGCCGGTGATATTTTTACCCGTTGCCACGATTGCGAAAAAAACAAAAATTTGGTAGGCACAAATTGCCACATCGCCCAATCAACGCGAAGTACGACTGAATGTCCCGCCCTTTTCGAGGAGATTGTATTGGAGCAGTCCCACTGTGGAGAGCTTCTTTTGAGTGATTCACGTACCAATATGGCTCTTGCCAGGTTAGAGGACTAATGATGTTTGTTTTGTAAAACGGTGTCATCTGAAGTCGGATCTGAGAGATTATGACTGTTTACCCTGGTGTCCAGTTCTTCAGGTTCTTCTGGTGTGGTGCAGGCTGTGTTCACGCTACCATTACACTCTGTGGTGTTGATCAGCAGAGGGGAGTTTCCATTGGATGAAGTTACAGATAATTTCTAATTGGAAACAGGTAAAAAAAAAAAAAAAAATGGAATGAACACTTTTAATTGTAGGCGAACAGTTAGGTTTGTGTAAAATAGTAGTCTAATCTAATCAGCCGATGTAATGAAACATACCTAGGCAATAAAGCACACTTGTCAGTCACATGTTCCAATACTTTGGCTCACATGAAAAATAAGTACCGTAGATTAAAAAAAAAAAAAAAAGAAGTGCAAACTTCTAAACTTTGTCTGAGATCAAAAATTAAATACCTGGAAACAAAAACCAAAAGGCCGATATCTCCTTACATACAGTATTTATTTGATGTCAAACTCAAATGGTTTCAGTCTACAGTGGAAATAAAATGGAATTGGCCTCACTTATTCTTTGGGAGTGGGGTTCCCGGATAGGCGCGCGCGTGCGCGCGCGTGTGTGTGTGTGTGTGTGTGTGTGTGTGTGTGTGTGTGTGTGTGCGTGCGTGCGTGCGTGCGCGCGCGCGTGTGTGTGCGTGCGTGCGCGCGTGCGTGCGCGCGTGTGCGTGCGTGTGTGCGTGCGTATAGTTTCTACTCACTACACTGTTGATGCCGTTTTTTCCCACGGGTCCTTTGGAAACAACTACTAGGTAGGTCTCGAGTCCTCTCTCCCTCAGGTAGTCACAGCGCTCACCTCCATTCCCTGGCTCAACTTCAAACTCCCCATGAAGACACTCCATGGTGGTTTGTGAGATGTGGACACGACTAATCCACACCAAAAGAAGGGGGTGGGGGGGGAATAATATTTATTTTTGTTTCAGGCAACAGCAAAAGCAACACAGTCACTGTCGTATTCCAACAATAACAAAAAAAGCTAATTGGTAACAAAAGTCATTTGCGTCAATATATGGAGGGGAATAGGTCAGAGGTCAGGCAATTCAGGGGGAGGGGGGGATCTTAAAAGACCAGCCATTACAGTTGATTGTTGCACTTATGAACCACTGTGAAAAGGAGAGCACTGCTACCTAGGTAGACAACCAGGTAGACATGCACACACTCCTGTATCATAACCAGCCACCACTCAGGGTTTTCGTGGCTCGCCCTGAGCCGAAGTTATACTTACAATTCTGAACTATGACAAGAATCTTACCACACTTCTTTGTAGAGAACTTGGGCACACCTAATGCTGTACGTTCTCCACAATTGCAATTCAAAAATGAAGCCTTGCCAGAGCCATAGAATAGTATTCCAATTGCAAGCGCTTAATTTTCTCCCACTCCCTTGGAATGAAATGTACATTCGTGAGAACTTAATACACAATACCAAAAATAATACCACATCAATAAAAGAAAAAAAAAACAATTTGAATCTGCTTCTGAAAAAAAATTAATTGGAAAGAGTCAGCAATCTAGGGAATGATTTGATGGGGTGTGCACATATAGTAGATCAGGGATGGGCAACTTAAAGTGGACCATTTATATTTTATCTTTTGACCACCACAGGTAAAACTTTAATGCTGGGGGGCACAGTTTTTCATCAGTGCTACAGCGGGGCCACATAAGACCACACACTTCTTAACCAGATGTATGACAAATATGCTATTTTACCGTAATAGGGAGAAAATACATGCTCTTAATATACTGTGTTTCATTTTTGATCAGACACTTTTCAATGCATGTACAAAACATCCACTATACTAACCCAACAAGAAAAGGCTTGAAGCGAACAACAACAAAAGAGCCACTATTTTTTTCCCGATGCATCAAAATGACCATTTAAGGGTGGCACAAAACTGTTGACCAAGAACCCAATATTTAGTACATGAATTCATTTTGTATGTCAACTCACTCATTTTTCTTAAAATAGGAGGTACCGGTACTATTTTTTTCCTGCATATCATTTCAAATCCGCCCAAAAAATATTCGGCTGACTCATGTTGTAGTATAGGGCACTATAAGACATAGTATAAGTAGAACTAAGACATGTCTGTCATCCAGTGTTGAATGGTAATGTTACAACTTAAAACTACAGTCGACCCCTGCACATTCGCAATTCGACACCTGTGGATTTGCATATTTTTTTCATATTTTGGATTTATCCCGGTTTTGCCGTGAATTTTCCTCCATTCTCCCATTGTTCATGGAAAACGTTTTTGAATGTTTATCAGCTCACAGGCTGCCCGCCAGCTGCCCATCCCTGCAACAGATGGCTCCAGTAAAAGTACAACCTGTTAATATGTTGACATAATGAAAATCCTGGTCTGGGGAAACAATTTGACTCTTATGTATTTGGCTTGGTGGCTGAGTTCAGAAAGCACATACTGATGCAATTCATTTTCACAAATCTATAGAAAGTTGTATGGGATGGCACAAATTTAGAAGTGTTAGGCCTAGGTAGACGCCTGTTGTCTTTAGAGTGCTATTCAAGATTTTAAAAAGCAACCACGGGGTGTTCTTACCCTGGTATCCCTCCAGCCTCCATCTTGTTGGCTACAGTGACATCAGTGGACCACACGTCATATTGCCATCGTTTTTGACCCAGCACTCCCCCCAAGACTGTGCCGCTGTGCACTCCCACTCGCATGTCAACATCTGTTTGGGTTTTCTCACGTACATACCTAGTGTTTGGTTACAGATACATGGAATCAAATGAATGCATTGTTAAAAATACTGTCACCGCACCAGCATCCGGGGCAGGAAATAAAACAAATAATCACACACGCACAGGCACTCATGCGGAAAGATCCCTCAACTAATGCACTTTCTTTCACGGCCACACACACAACAAAAATCTATGTTAGTCTGTCTGAGTGATCAATTTTCCATTGAGCATGTGACAGACCAGCGAATGCGCTGATTGCCTTCTGGGAATTTGAAATACACAGCTCGACTGTACACTCACGAGATGGCCTCAACCATGGCGAGGCCCATCATGATGGAACAGGCGGCATGGTCCTCCCTGTAGTCTGGCAGCCCGCAAATACAGTAGTAACAGTCTCCGAGGATCTTGATTCTCAGCTGGTGATATTTCTGAAAAGGTGGTTGGGGTTTTAGTCAGAGCAAGGATATACTTTATCTTGCATGAGTTTAAACTATTGATGATTATTCTTTAAAGTGCATATTTGTGTTGGCTAACTATTCAGTTTAACTCTGATTACTTTTACTGATAGCAAACATGTATAATTGATGCATTTAGAAGGAAATAAAACTCACGGGCTTAGCTTTGTTCTAATTGAAAAAAATGCCCGCAGCTTTAAGAAACCTAATAGTAAAAGTAACAGCAGAATAGTGTACAAATATGCTAAATCCCATAAACTAAATGTTGGTTATCCGCGTCACAAATCTATACTGTACAAAAATTATCTCCCGATTGTCAAAAAGAATGTAAATGCACGTGTATAACCGGATCGCTTAATACTAAGACTCACTGCAGCAAGTTTGTCAAACCGAGCAAAGAGTTCATTGAGCAGTTTGACCAGCTCCTGAGCGCTGCATGATGATGACAGCTGGGTAAAGCCCACAATGTCTGCAAACAAAATACTGCACAACAAGAGATTGAGACAAAGCAATGCATTACTATAATGACACATTCATTTGAAGGGTGATGAACTACTGTAGACGTCAATGAACCATGCAGTAGTTGTCAAAATCTATAATACAGCGTGAAGGAGGGGAAGTAAAATTCTTGGCACGTTTACGTAACATCAAACATATTTTGTTTTTCGAGACGAATAATTCAAATGACTTTATGGGGGTCTTAAGTACCGTATTGGCCCGGATATAAGACGGTGTTTTTGTATTGAAATAAGACTGAAAAGGTGGGGGTCGTCTTATATTCGGGGTCTAGACATTATACCCATTCACGACGCTAGATGACGCCAGATATCATTGAAGCAAATGTTGAACTTGACTCCCCAGGCCAAAGTGAACCCCTGTCACGAAGAATAAAAATAAAAATAGCGGTAGCACGAGTAAGAAAAAAAAAATAGCGGTCAGAAAGAAAAGAGAAGAAAATAATGGAAGAGAAAACAGAAAATGGAGAAACGTAGCGACAATCTGGAGAAAAGTGGGTCGAAGATCGGCCAGGTTAACCGGCAGCTGAGGAGAAGTTATGATGTAATTTACATTTCAAAAACCAGAAGCCATTCATTTACGAATATGATTGCACTTTAGTTTACATATTTAAATGTTCAGATATTAAGATTTGAATGAGGCAAAGTAACATGCTTTTTCTCTCAAATATATTGTTATAATCATTTGTTTCAGAGGTACTGTAATTATTTTCTGTATAAAAATTAATTTGGCGTTCAAAAAGTCTTTTTTCAAACTTGAGTCTTGAAAAAGAGGGGGTCATCTTATAATCAGGGCCGTCTTATATTCGGGCCAATACGGTATATTGAATATTAGTTGCTACATTACCTGACATTTTCATGTCTGTACATGTACATGGTGTTAAACTGCTGCATCTCTTTCTGACTGGGCTCCTTTTTCATGTCCTGCAGCATCTCGTCAGCTATGTGTTTGGGAAGGATGGACAACAGCAGGCGTTCCTAGAGAAAAAAAACAAGCCATGAACTCTCCTTCAGAGGAAGCACACAGCATCAATCGTGACAGAAATAAACAGTGCTGGCACATCAGATCAACATTTTGTTCATGATTTGGGAATGAAGGAATCAACTCGTCAGGGAACAATCTGAATGATAAAGATGTGCATCCTAATTTCTGAAAGAAGAGATTGCTCAGATGAAGAAACGACTTAAAGATTGAATCTTGGTTGAAGTTGGTTGCCCCCCCCACCCCAACAATGCTTATTGTCAATGTTTAACAGAAGAAAAAAGAGAACTCTTGATAAACTGACTCATCTCATTGGGGAATGACGACTGCACATTCAGCACAGAAAATTCGAAGGAGGGGTCTCAGTCAACAGGAGAACGTAATTTGAGAGAATTCAATCTGAAAGCACGGTTTGCCGTGACCCGAAAAAGATTCCACTAAATTGCACACAGACGAGAAACACAAGGTGTGTCAGAACAGTTCTGGGACTTATTGACTAACATTTGAAAACCAAACAAAAGGTTTCCCCCTTCTATTTTAGTTAGTAGTTTGTTTGTTGCTGACAACAATCCCGAAACTTTTCCAGCACACCTCATGCCGTGCTGTATGTTGCACAGATGCACAATTGCGCATGCATAAGCACAACTGAAGTACAGGGGGAGGAAGGGAGGCACATAATGGGTTATGTGGGGGCGCTTTTAATATGAATCCAAATTTCACAGTGTGGCGGATAAGAAACAATTAACTGATCGGGTTGACTTTGTGATTGCACGTATATCATCTTGGGAGGCTAATTGTCATGGTAACAGACAGTACAACATACTCCATCCTTGATTGGTTGGTGGCCCTCATCTGCCAGCAGCCTCAGCATCCCATTCTGAAGATGATGTACTGTAATTAAGTCTGATATAAATTGAGAGAATGAGATCCCTCTAAATGTCTCGAGTCTCAGTCAGGCTCATTTTCAGGCTCGAGTCGTATTTCGAAGGATTCTGATAGACAAATTTGACATATCAACATGACATGGAGGATCTTGGTTAGCTAGCACATTCTTGATTGAAACACTTGTAGAACAATAAACCTCAGTAATCCCTAGTTCGTTTTTTCATTTTTCACTGTTTGCGACCAATCAGAACAAAATACAAGGAACAATACTGAACATTCATGAGTATTACAAATCAAGCCGGGTCCTGAGGATTTCCCCGTAACAATCTTTTCCAGGAGCATGTCGTTTCAGTGGGATCATTTGTACAGTACCGAAAAATCGTTTCCCATAAAAAGTACCGCGCACTAGTTAACTGTACGCGATAGAATCTCTCCTGTGTGATCAACGCGATATCATTGTGCCTGTATGTGTGTTTGTGGCATGGTGTGTGAGTGTTTTTCTTCTATTCTACTTTCGTTCTGCTTTTATAAAGTGGTGGGAGGGTGGAGAAGGAAACATTTTGTGCACATGCGGATTTAAATCCTGGGGTACACAGCTGTTGATGTAACATTACGTGCGCATGTAACATAATGTTTCCTTTTCCGCCCAAGGAAACGATTTTTCGGTACCGTACAAATGATCCCACGGAAACGACAGGCTACCGGAAACGATCGTTACCGTGAAGTGTTGAATCATTTAATTGTGGAGTTTGTTTCCACATCGTATGTTTTAAAAATCAGGATGATTGTGATGTTGGTTGAAACCACTCATTGATTTATTAATGATTACCAGTAAGTAAATCTTTGCTGCGTGAGACTGGAAAAAAATTACACAGCTGTTGATGTAATGTTCATTAATAATGCATAGTTTTCAAACATTTACCTTTTAAATATTATTCTTTTGAGTATCAGAATTGTTGATGATGAATATCAGTCAAAATAGAAAAATGGGTTCCCATGATGAACGTTTACGGAACCCAACATTTGTTTCAGTGTTTTCCCATTGGGTAATCTAATGGAACCGAGAAACAGTTTCTGTTAATTTCTGTAATCCTCAGGCCTGAAGCCAAGAGATGGCAGCTGAGATGTCCACGTCTTGTGAGCAACGCGTTACTTCCTAGCAGCGTCAGCATCATCAAAAGGGCTACAAATGCCTTTTGAATGTTCACTACTTGAAGTTAAAATAGTTGACATAAAGTTGTCTTTAAACGCAGACTTATTGTATTATTTGACCTCTGACCTGTTGCTGGCTTTGCTCCTCCAGGTTGAGTTTGACCTCGAGCGATTGTCTTGCCTCAAGAAAAGCCTTTCTGTGCTTCCGGTCTGCCATGTAGTATGACATGACGCCCACGGTGATGGCACAAACATAGATCACAATGTTGGCCAGGAGCTGAAAAAAACAAAACAACAACAAGGACACAGTTTGCTGAATGGTTTTCGGTAATACGCCTCTGACAAAAGTATATTGACAGGCCGTCGAACCAGCCGCTTATTTTTTTTTCCATTATCATGATTGGCCAACGGCATATTCTAAAAATAACACAGCCCTCATAGAACATTCAACTTGCTGGCTGCTCTGTACTTGTAGCTTTGAGTTTGCCTTATTCAAGTCAAAGAATTACACCCAAAGAAAAGGCACAAATTTAGAATAAGCGCTTATCTCAGGTCAAATGTTTCTAACATGAAAATAAAATTCTATTTTTATGATATACAAACACATTTGGCAATAATCGGTGCAAGTGATCCCATGATGGCCTTCCCAGGGGATCCTTTCAAGCTACATACAAAACAATGTGAAAAGAATGTATCTGTTGTTTAGCACAAATTAAACCCACGAGTTGCTCCTTTGGAAAAACAATCGCCAGAAGGGTCAGAAAAAAAAAAGTCATTCAATATACTGACCAAAATCGCAAAATTTGCAACCATGATTAATTTGATGAATGAGCTGCTCTGTGCCTGCAGCCATGTTGTCAGTGCAAGCAGGACACATCGTGGGGAAGCTCTCGGAACTTCAGAAGTAGATGGAAAAAAAAAAAATCAATTCACAAAATATTTTTGAAAAATTAACTGATGAATTGCCCAGCCCCGCATACCGGTCAATCGAGTACCACAACACCTGTTCATACCGACGCTTAAAAAACAAAACAAAACGCATTCTCTCGTGTGAGAAGCGAAGCATTGAAATGTTTTGCAGTTGTTCTTAGATATTTGTGAAATGCAACCAAACAGCGAGTCAATGATTTTTGAGGTGACTTTAAAATATGATGACAGTAATTAGAGAATGAAACATGCCTCGTAATAGTGAAATTATTAGATCTTCAGCAGTTCAGAGAGAGAGCGCAATAAACAATCCAGGGATATTCATGTTAATTGTATTTCATTACAAAGACAAAAAAGCAGACGTTTTTTCATGAAAATGTCAAATTTGACAAGAAGCAGGTAGAAGAATAAATGTGATCATGATCTTGTGACAGGGAATATTCACTTTTCACATACTTCCATTCAAAATTGGGTTTATAATATATACACTATTACTGTGAATGGATTCAATATTGTACCATGATTTACATTTATGTACAATGAACGTGTACCGTATTTTACAAAACATAAGGCACGCTTAAAATCCTTTAATTTTCTCAAAAATCAACAGTGCGACCTATATATGGACAGATGTCGGCTTTTCGGTTTGTCATCTTTAATTCAAATTCCTTCCTATTACAATCGCATTGTCATCCTCATCCAAACCGAATCCCCCGCAGGCGTCGATGTGTTTTCGTCACACAGGAACTAAGACTGCTATTGCCTTCGAAGAAGATGGAAATTCCGACTTTTCTGACTTACAACCAGGAAAAGTGCACTGGAATGCCCCTTTGAACTGGGCGGTCCGAGTTACGTCAGATTGAGTCCGAACCGGCTTCAATCTGATGTTACTCAACAATGGCGACCCAGACATGGAGTTGCAGATCGTGAATGGAATAAAATAATTTTCAAGGTTATATTCATATATGAATCTATTATTATTTATTATTAATTTAGTTTTTCAAAATAACGGGAAATGTTGGTAAAGTGAATGAAATGTTTTGAAGACAAGATATTCCTTTATTTATATAAATAAAGCATATTTTGAAGAATGTTTGCTGGAGGTCAAAATAGGTTATGATAAACAAAAACAACAAACAATTTATTGGCATCATACAGCTTTGTTGTTTACATTCCCCGAATGCTTGGAATTGGGACAATCCAACTTCCCCCCTTCCTTGAATGCTTCATTATTCACGTTCCTGTGTCAAAGAACATGGGAATTGTAGTCCTATTAGATGGTAAGAGCCGACGCAAGTTGCACTTTTCTGGCAGCATATTTCCACTGTCACAACATGGGACCAGCCTGGCGCAAGGTAAACGACACAGCCAGTTTTTCCACTTCCAATAGCTGCCGGGACTGAGCAAAAAAGGTTGGATAATGGTGAATGCATTGAGTTGTTTACAGGTGTTGAAGTGACAATTGAGAAAGACTTTTGTCACGATGGGAAAAGAAAGCTTCAAATTTGCTTCACGAACCAATTGTTTTTATCAATTCATCAGTTAAAGCTCAAGGACAAAGTCTTGTAAAACAGTCAAATGTTCTGCCTGTAATTCAAATTGCTGTTCTTTTTTAGGCCTTAAGATCCCCAGGAAAGGCATTTGATTCATTCTGTATTTTTTTAATTCATCGGCCATTCAAACTGTTAGCATATTATTTTTTTCTGCCAAATATCGGCATCAAGCTAAAAAAAAAAAAAAAAAAAAAAAACTCCAGATCCGTTGGCCCTAATGCGAACAAGCTGAAAACGTGCATGTGAAGAACTCACGTTTATTAGTACTCCAACGAGCGCAAGTAGGGGTGCAAGTACATATTTAAACATTAATCAGCTTTATGATTTTGTCACGTATTTCACTGCAATGCAATGTGTTTATTTACTATGCAAAGCTCTTTTTCAAAGGGTTGCCTGTGTTGAGCCACAACGGCAGTAAAACAGGACTAAAAATATATCTGCAACATTTGTTTGCCGTGTCCTTATTTGCATGATCAGCTCGGACTGGTTTTCATTTTGTTCTGCCCAGTTTGTGCAGTAAAACAAAAAAAAAGTGCAGTGACGCTCGCTGTTGTACTATGAATTCTTTTAAAGTGGAGAAAAGAAGGCACAGAGTAGTATCATCTCATTTTACTTTTCATTGATGGCGTAGCAAATAAAATGGTGATTGTCACATTTACCTAATCAAGGATAGTTGGTTTGATCGTGGCAGGGGAATCCTTTTTCCCTACTTGTTGCATTTGTTTTTGATGCACTCTGTGGGTCTACCTTATAAATATCAACAAAAAAACTCAATTGACTTAAAATGTTATTCCTGATTTAACTTGTGATTTTGCCAGAGTTCGTTCGAGACTTAGTCTTCTGTTTTAAAAATAAAGTATTCTAGTCGGAAATATACATATTGTATCTTTTTAAACATTTATGTTGATATTTCAATAAATATAATACATAAATTAATAATTATCATTCAGAAGACAATAAAATGTGTGATAAGTTATTTCTTGAACTGGCTAGTTCACTGATGACGATATCAAGTCAACATAGCTGAGAAGTCAGAGTGATCATGAAGTTAAAACATTTCTAAAGCTACAGTATACATGAGAATGCTCATCAAGTTTTCATAATATTACCAAAGGCCAAAGTAATGACCGATTGCTGTATTTCAACTCATTCCATTGTGGTGGTGCATTCGGAAAAGCTGTACAGAATACACAGTGGACATAAAAGATACTTTCACCGACACAACTGTCTTACCCTTTGAGTTTAAACATCCAGGTTTTATGTATCTATTTGTTTTCCAATAATTAAAAAAAATATATTGCTCAGAGTATTCCAAGAGTAGCATGATTTATATTTTTCTTCCCTTGTCAAGTCTCACCTGTCTGCCAAGTGCTGCTCCCTGGATCTCCTCCTGTTGCTGCTGGGCGATGGTGACACCCAGAACCAGGGTGTGAACCCCGCAGGTGACAGTCGTGATGAGCACGATGGGAGTCAACCTCAAAGGCAGTGTCAGGAAAAAGGAGAAGCTGAAGAAAGCCTGCCAGCCTACTGTGTCGCTGGCCTGGTGAAAGTGGGCATAATTCAAACCCAGGTAGCAGAATATTTGAGCCGCTATGAGCACCCACAGGGCGTAGGGCACCACCCGCCTGGAGATGCGATCTGGCAGCAGCCCGAAGCGGCACAGCAGGTAGAGGAGGATGTCTGCTAGCAGCCCCACAGATGCCACCAGGACAGATGCCAGCTTGTCACTGGTGTAGACCACCGCACACATGACAATGATGTAGCTGTCGAAGAGAGCCGCGAACACAACCAGCACCAGTAAGGTTTCGTGTCTTTGACGCCTGAAGTAGGTCTGGTAGAGGTTCTCCAGGGACTCTGGCGCAAAGGTGAGGCGCATGAAACGAGGTAGGCAAAGGCAGCAACCTGAGCTCCTCACCGTGACCTCGTGTGTTCGCCCAACTGCCTGCCCAGGGTCAGAGGGCAGAGTCACGGAACAGTCCGCGGAATACTCAGCAGAGTACTCCGGCTCTGAGAACGCTCGATTCCGAGGCATAGTGGACGTTAAATGTCGGAGCTTCCTGTCTACTCTGTTGTCTCCTCTTCAACTTGAGACCGGATGGTTTTCACACAGACGCTGATCAAGTTATTGAATGCTTCACCAGCTCGCCCCTCCTTCCGTTCTGAATCCACACGTGTGTATGAAATCCCTTCCGTGTGTTGATTGTCTTATAGGGCTGACACTAGAGACACATCCGCTTACATCGCTGCGTTTGTGGTCACTCCATCGAACGCTGTCGTTTGGCTCAGTCCTGTGTCCTATCCACAAACTGGGCACGCCTCCTCAGCAACATGATCCAGAGATTGTCTTTTTTTTCTCATTCAGCATCAGCAACATGACTGCTTCACGGTCTCATTTCCATTGAGGCTCTCCACAGTAATGCACACAGTCTGAGTGGTTGAATTGAAGTTGACATCCCTTAGGCAAATGTTTGCATGAGCTCCAGTTGCCATCATTCCACTGGCATGGATAATATTTTGCATGTTGGCCTCCCAGTGTCATAATTCACATCTCCTGAATGAAGGGCAAGACAGGGGAGATTCACAATTAAACACTGCAACTTGTCACGATCATCAGGATTGCTGTGGATGCGTGATCTATGTATGATCATGATGGCTCCTCTGTCATGACGAGTGAAACTGTTAAAGAGGTCGTTGCTGGATATGTATCGATACAGCTATGAACATTTTTGGTTGGTCAATATTTGGCGGATTTTCGGCTCTGTACTGACGGCAAAACAGAAGAGTAAAGCATCGTCGCTTTTGTCATCATTCGAAGTCCAGGCCCTGTGCTGTGGGCCTACCTGACTGACTGACCGACTACATGTTGCGTGGAGCCACGGACAGTTCATAAAAACACTTCCACTTTCTTAGCATTGTTCAAACATTGAGCATCGCCACAATAATCTGCATCCAACTGACCTTGCTCAAGTCTCACAAAGGACGGAATCTATCTTTGCCGTACAGAAATCCTATTTCCATTGATGTTTTAGCATTTGGGAGACTAAGAATGTGTAGACTATTTGTATGAGATGGCAATGTTTACGTTGCGCTTTGCTGTCTAGAGTTAGTATTTTAGTAAGCTAATTTTATTTCCCCTGCAACGCGAGAAACTGATATTTTGGGTTCATTCTCCCAGATGTGAAATTGTTCACTGATGCATTCAACCTACCTTAACGTAGAACCAGATTTCGTGGGCTATCGTTACTCCTGAAATATAGACGCGGTTGTCATTTGCAGGAATCACACTAACTTAGATATTTAGAGCCCCAGTTTGCAGAGGATAAAGAAGTAAAGTAGAAAAAGTAGCCTCGGCATGAATTCATTTGCTGTGTCCGTGCGTGTTTTTCCCCTGCTTGGGTGTTTTCCGCAGACTACACAGCTCTGTCATGATCTGTAAACACCACGAAGACAATTTCCGGTCCTTCGTGGTGAAATAAATGTGTTATAACTCAAATTTAGGAAGACATAAATGACACATTAAAGAAATTAATTCAGTGATAACGATACATGTGTGCAAAATGGTGAAAAGTAATCATACTGGTCGGCTGTTTTAGAGTTGTTACCTAAAGAAAACGTTTGATATTCAGGTGATTAGGTGGAGTGGTGGTGCGTGAGAAGTGTAACTATGCGGATTTTCTTTTTCACCTTTTTTAATAGGTTTGCAGTCCAGAACCTAACACAAAAGCTAACCATACAATTATCATAACCATAATTAAAGCAAAAGCCATGAAACAAATTCATTCAGAATCAAAATTGATCCGAGATTGATTCTTTTGAGTATTTTTCGGTAAGGAAATTGAAACGCCTGTCATCTATTTTAACAAAGGTAGCTCTTGTTTTGAAGGAAAAGCTACTTCACTTCCAGAATAATTCTGCATTTTCTTTCAAACTTTACACTCTCCACATTTTCTTTCGGTATCCCCGCCCCTG